TAAGAAATTTGAAGATTTAGTCAACTTATTAAGATTTGAATAAAATTTGTTTATTATTTTATTATTTTTTTATTAAAGAGGGAAAATTTCAGAGTTGTTATTATCGGGGGGAAAATTTCAGACTTGATCCAATTTTTCTGCTAATTAAACTTGTAAATAACCCTCTTGATATAATGTAATAATTTGTATTTTTTTGTCATGTGATAAATTTCTTATCATTTAGAAGGAAAAAACAATATTAGATTATTAAATTTGTATGAAAAACTTTTTTAATTTTGAGTTGAAATTTTTTGACCTGTTGTTTAAGATTTTTATTAGTTTATTAACTATAAATAAACAGTTTTCTTTAAAATAAAAACATTTATTTATATAACCACATTACTAATATATAAGAGAAAATTGATTATTTAGTAACATTTTCTATGTCACTTTTCATTAGTTGCATTCTTTTTTGACCGCCACTGACATTCTATAATTTTATCTGCTTCTTCAATAACTCTGCAGTTTAATACTCGAATTGCTTCTTTTTGACGGTTCAATAGTCTTTTAAAGAATATTTCAAGTTTTTCCCTATCTAGTATTTGGTGTTTTTTATCTAAACATACATTGGGTTATTAATATTAATATCTAAACCCTTTAAATATTGAGTTAAAAACCTGAATTTAGTAATGTAAAGTTCTTCAAGTCTACTTCTATGTGTAAATCAGTGATTATTAGGAAAAACAAAATCTCTAAATGCTTCAACTATTGTGGATACTCTGCGTTTACTTTCATTTATTTAATATGTTTTCAGACTCATGGGTGTGCTCATAATAGTGGAAGCTTGAATTTCTGTTCACTTACAACTTAGTTATTAATGTTTAAAAATTCATATCCATTCAGAAACTTCTTTGGAAGATATTTCAACAAGCTTTTTGATCTTAAATATTAGTTGATCTTATGGTGAAAAACTGGTTATTTTACCTCTAAATCTATTGTATTGATTTATAGAGTTTCTTTCCTTATCGGGTTTATTAAAGCTAGTGATAGAAAGCACTTGGATGTAAATCTTTTTTGTATAATTTTAGTTATATTATAATCGTATATACTCGCTTTTGACGTGTATGACTTTGGTACCAAAATTCCTTGCTTTATGTTGTTGTTAGTTGTATATTTTCTTGTAGTTTTATGAACTGTGTTTTTAATAAACTTTATGTTCTTATTAATGATCATTTATTCAAAAATTTTCTTTTTATATTTTAAAAATAGGTTATAAAATTGTTATTATTGAATTAAAATCTTAGATCTATTTGGTCATCAACTTCACTTGTTATGACACAACAACTGTATAAAAAATAAAAAAATAACAAAAAACAGTTATTTTTAAAAAGAGTATTTTACAAATTCGAACTTAAATAATATCTTACTTAACTAGCTTATGAACGTTATGCAATTTACCAAAATTATAAATTAATTAATATAAAAATTAAGAAGTTAAATTAAATAATTTGTAAATGTGGGAGTTGAGGCACATCCACTGTAATCTCATTATAATCTCAGTGAAAATGCAATCAACTTCCTATAAAATTTTTTTATAAAATATTTATATTAGTCTTTAATTTACAATTAATTGTTTGTAAGTTATTAAATTAAATAGCTTTAGTAACCAAAATATTTTTTTGATTTATTGATATTAAAATTATTGTCAGCTTATAATTTATTATTAATAAAGAATCTTGATTTTAATTAATTTCAAAAGACAAATAGATGTTTGATATATAATCCTGCTAAAACTCTAAGAATATGAAAAATAAAAACGAATGAGTAACAAGTTAAATTTGAATAAAATAATTTTTATTTGTTATTTTAAAAAAAGACTTTTTTTAGTTCGAACTTCCAAAATTAATTTATTAAAATAATGTACATACCCATTTTACAATTTCATAAAAATTTTATATTGTTTATATATAAAAAGCAAAATCAATAAAATATGTTTTACATTTAACAAAAGAGTTCTGCGTAGGCCAGCATTAAGTAATTAAGTTTAAATACTGACTAACTGAAGAACAATTAATTAATTTATAACATATTTATTTAAATGATGTTTTAAAAATTAATTAATGTATTAAATTAAGAATGTGTTATTTCTTATAAATAAAGAATATTAATATATTTACGGTTTTATTTATGTAAAAAATTTAAATAACAAATAATTTAAATTAAAACAATAAATACAGTAGTTTTCAAAATAAAAAGACTTTTTATTTTTTCGTCTTGTGTGAAATAAACATATTAAAATCATGTTAGTTTTATTACTTTTAATTAAAGAATATGATTTTTAAACTTAAAACTGTCTTTTTTTTTCATAAAAAATACTATAAAACTACAGGAAATAAAAAATTAAATATTATGTTTTAAAAAAGGGCAGTCTAGGATTTTTTTCAAAAAATATGATAAAAAGTTAAATATAATTAATTTTTATATAAAGATCATTTTAAATAACCGTAAAAAACACTTTTGTTAAAGAAATTTTTAAGTTTGATCGCAACCAAATACAAATTGCTATAAAATTAATATTTCCAGAAATACAATTCAAAAGTAGATATTTAAGTTAAAAAAATGTTTTTAAATGATCTGGTAAAAAAAGTTGCATCAACCATTTCAAAAATATTTTTAGTTAAAAAACATGAAAAGGATCATTTTGTAAGTCTATCAATCCTTCAATAAAAATTTAAAATGATTTGTTTTGAATTTTAACAAACAACCACTTTCTAGATTCTCCAAAAATAGCTGTTTTATTACAAACTATTTAGCGAAAAACCGTTTATTAAGAATGTAAATATTGAAAAAATTATTTAGATTATTTAAAAATTTTACGTATAACTGATAATGAATTAAAACATATGTTTTTCTCAGATAAGTCAAAATTTAATGTTTTTAATAACGTAGGAGCAAGATATGTTTAATATCTTATTGGGTATAAACATGAAACATCAAATATTTTGCAAAAAGTTAAACAAGGTGAAAGAAGTATTATATTATTGGTCACGATCACTTATTATGGTGTTTCTGATTTATTTTTTATTAAAGATTAGATGATTGGGAAGAGCCTTAATCAATTATAACTAAATATTTATTTAAGTTAGAAGAAAATATCATTTAAAATTTTTGTTTTTATATAGGATTTTGTCTCTAAACACACTTCAAGTGTTACAGTAAACCATTTTGATAAAATTAAAATATACTTACTAAATAACTATTGAAAAATCTTTGTTTAAACCCAGTTGAATATATTTAGAGTTGTATAAATAACTGATTATGGTAAATTAGGCAAAAAAGAATTAAAAGAAAAAATAACAAAAATATGAATGTGGACATTCTGTCTACACGCGCTGAATTGTAGGTAACTCTCAAATATTGAATTTAATTTTAATTTCAATTTATTGTTGCTCATTCTTAATTCTTGGGTGAAGAATTTTTAAAATTAAAATTAAAAAAAAATAGAATGTTCTAAATTAAAATTTTATCATTGGTGGGTTGATCATTAAGACAATCACCACAATGATATTAAATTGATGTAGGTATATTATAGAATCTTTTTTATAGTATTCATAAACGTTTTTTAAAAGTCTAGAAAGCAAAAGATTAAATATCCTTTTATATTTATTTAATGTGCTTTTTTTTTAAATATAATTTTTATTTCCTACTATTTTATTACGTTTTTAATAAAATATGAGTTTAAATTTTAAAAGTCACACTCTTTCACTATAATTAATAAAACTAATAAGGTTTTAATATGTTTTTTTTCACATAAGAATAAAAAAATCTTTTTATTTTGAAAACCACTGTACCTACTGTTATTATATTTAAAGTATTAGGTTATTTAGAAATCTTTTTAATAATTTTTTTAATGTGTTCTTTTAACTAATATTGCTACTCCTATCACTCTTAAAAACCCTGTTATTTCTATAGTAAAACCAATTCATGAGCCTCTAATTTATTTATTTTAATTTTTTAAATAATATTTTCTAAAACTATGATATCATTTGTTTTAGATTATAACAATGTTTTAATAATTTTAATAATTAATTCTATATTTAATTATGACTATTATTAATAAAAATGGAAGATAAATAAATCTAATTTAAATATTGAATTATGTTTTATCATCAACTAATACAACTTAAATGAAAATAAAACAAAATCTATTTAGGTAAGTTTAATTTGTTTAAACAATTCAATTATAACATAATTTCATTAATATAAGTTGTTTATTTGTTTATTGATATTATATAGTATATAAAAACATTAAATTAGAGATCCTGAAATTTTTATTTTTCTCTTTATAACATTAATCTGGGTTATAGTAGATTGAATAGTATCTTTTTAATATGTAAAGTTCTTCAATTGTTTTTTAATTAGTTCTATACAAAGATTTTTAAAAAATAACAAAAATGGCTTTTTTATAAAAAAGTATTTTACGAATTCGAACTTAAACGATGTCATACTTTACTAACTCATGAACGTTATACAATTTAATAAAATTATAAATTAATAAATATAGAAATTAATAAACTGAATTACAACAATTTGTTAAAAAGGGGATTGGGGCAAGTCTAAGGTAATTTAAACAAATCTCACTAGAACTGCAACAACTCCTAATAAAAATTATTTATAAAATATTTGTATTAGTCTTAAATTTACAGTTAATTATTCGTGAGTTATTAAATTAAATAGCTTTTGTTACCAAAATATAATTTTT